TACATACATACATACATACATACATACATACATACATACACACACACACAATACAAATATATAATATGCAAAAATTCTGTGCGTCTCCTGGGGGCCAAGCCCCCCTTGTCCTTAAAACCTAGTGACACCCCTGGCTGAACATATGCAGTGTTTATGCTACTAAGACTTAAATTTGTTAGTTTCAGTAGTAACTGGTCATAAACAGTGAGCTCCAAAGACCTGAAATAATTCTTTTAAAATAAATTGTTTGCAGGGAAAGAAAAATATGACATGGTGCAGGTGCTGGTGTCAGAAGGCTGTTCATCTCAAACTGATCTATAACTATCTGACCAAAAAGCAGTGTTGTATAAAGTACCTCAAAGTGATACTTGAGTAAAAGTACAAATATCTTATCATAAAAATTCTTTGGTAAAAGTTAAAGTCTTCTGTAAAAATATTACTTGAGTAAAAGTCTTAAAGTATCTGTTGTGATGCGGTGGTGGAATGAACCCAATTCCAGGCAGAGTAAAGTTTTTAAATAAAAGATTTATTTTAACAAAAATACTGAGGAGGGAAACAGCTGAGGAGAAAAGATGAGTGATGGCGCTGGGAGACACAAGAAGTACACTTCAGACAAAACACAAACCCAACAGTATCTGATATTTTTTGTACTTATCAAAAGTAAATTTCCGACACAAAATCTACTTACTGTATTTATTCATGTATAATATGATCTCGAGTATAATACGTTCATCATTTTTGGAGCTTAAAAAGCATAAAAAACCTATTCATTAATAACCTGTGTATAATACTACCCCCCAACTTTATGGATGATTTTTTGGGTAAAATTTCTAGTATTATACATGAATAAATACAGTAAGTATTGAAAGTAAAAGTACTGAGTAAAAGTGAGCAGTTATATTTTCCAAAATGACATTTATTGGGAGGTGACTTCTCCAAAAAAATGTTTTTTCTAACGGCGTGCAGCTGTGATGGGTTGTGTACAAGCTAATAGGGTGTCAGAATGGTTTATATTTATACTTCTAATACAACCATAATTAAATTCACTCTATCCAGGAGACACAGTTTATCAGGATAGTATTTTTTAAGTAATAACTCAGAATAAAATAGGAGTAATGACTTTCTACTTATTACCTTTTTAAAAAAATGTACTGAGTAGAAAGTACAGATAATTGTGTAAAAATGTAATGAGTTAAAGTAAAAAGTACGCTGAAAAATAATTACTCAAGTAAAGTACAGATAACCAAAATTTCTACTTAAGTAGAGTATCAAAGTATTTGTGCTTAGTTACTTTACAACTCTGCCAAAAAGGCTTTTCAGTCAGTTTCTTTGTTGATATTTCATTATGTAGCACTACAGATTATAGTCAGTGAAGGATTTTTAAAATCCACATCCAGTTTGAACAGTTCCACTTAAACTTACAGTATTTGGGAAAGATTTTGGATAAACGAGTTTATCAAAAAAAACTGCCCATGCTGTTCATTGCAGACACAAAAAATAAACTTACACGTTACTGTTTTTTAAATTATATTTACTGGCAAATAGAAATAAATAAGAAGAAAAAGATTATTATGATAGGCAGTCATTAAAACCCAAATGCATACTGAGCCAAAGGAGGCTCAAAGGTAAAAGGTTTATTTCAAAATAAAGTGCTGATGTAACGTCACAAATCACAACTGATTCAGATTACAATCCATGATGGGCAAGAAGAGGGGAGGACTCAGACTTTAAAGGGAACCTAATTAACTGAAACCACCAACACCTGTGAGTGAGACAACTGGGAACAGGTGAGAATGGGAAGGCCAGAGGAAAAACAGAGGAGCAGGTAAAACAAAGACACAAGGGAACATGAACACAGAAGGAAAAATAAAAACACAGATAAACACAAAACTCTACACACATGGGCAAGAGATAACCTTTAAGAGAAAAAGTTAAAGTGTAGAGAGAAGGGGCAGACAATGAAGGTAAGTGTGTGACTGACCATGAGAGGAAGGATTTCCTTTGGTTTTCTGTGTTTCAGGGAAACTCCGTTAACCTCCTTCAGCTCATCTCCTTCATGGATGAGGTCTTCAAATCATAAATGTACACAAAATAAAGTATATGAGACACTAGAAAATGTTGAGTTTACTTAATGTAGATGGTGTTCTGTCTGCCGGTTTGTTATAAATCCACCTGTCTACAGGAGTTGCTTCTTTTTAATTCAGCATAACACTGGCACTCATATTACTGTCAAATTCCATAACTAGTGCTAATTCTGGTTACTGTAACTGGGAATTTCAAAATAAGAGTCCTATTCAATACAGTCAGAACAAACATTACAGATGACATTATTACTAGTTTGTCGACATTGCGTATTTTGTCCTTTGGGCTGTTCAGGCAAAAGCCCACTCTGACCTGCTGGTAGTCGCTCTCTTCCTGTAAGACCAATTAAACCAGTACTGGATGCTTCATGGCTATAGGTATAATACATCTGAAATGCACCTGGCTTGGTGGTGTCCCAAAAAACTGTCCGGTTGTTTATTATGTCCTGTTCGTGCACAAAAAGTGCACACTTGGTCCATTTTCAACTCTATGGGTCAGAACTTTATTAAACTCTGGTGGATAAATTATATACTACGGAGCCCGCGAGGGGACACGGGGGGGATTTTTATTCCCTTTTGCATTCCCACGCAATATCTTTGCGTTCCCTTGCAATACTTTTGCGTTCCCGCGCAATACTTTTGCGTTCCCGCGCAATACTTTTGCGTTCCCGCGCAATACTTTTGCGTTCCCACACAATATTGTTTTACGTTCCCATGCAAAAGATTGTTTTGTATATGAATTGAATTAAATCAGACTTTCATTTTGAAATATCCGGTTACCAAATCAGGATGTGTCGCCACAAGTTCGTTAAATTGACATTGATGTTGTGTGGCTGTACTGTGTTAAAATATTGGCATGTGACATACAGTACTTCCATGCGTGGCTGTGTGATATATTTATTCTGAAGCTGAATTAAAGCAGTAGGCTAACTTGCTAATGGTGAACATGTGAGTTTGCTAATAAATCGGCAGGCACAACAGTGATAAACTACTTTTGCGAGGGAACGCAAAAGCTATTGCGAGGGAACGCAAAAGGTATTGCGAGGTAACGCAAAAGTATTGCGTGGGAACGCAAAAGAAAAAATATCTCCTATGTCCTCTCGCAGGCCCCGTAATATACAGCTCTGTCTGGGCACTCAAACTTTCGGCATCGCACACATACACATCCAGATGGAACATAAAGTCAAAACAATAGTTCCTACCTGCTCAAAATCATAAATCCTCATCTTTTCTCATAATTATGACATCTTATTCTGTAATAATGAATCTTATCTCGTAAAAATGTCATCTTATTCCACAATTATGAGATCAGGAGTCTAATTATTTATTTATTTATTTATTTATTTAGGTGAATGTAATGCTCCTCCATACATGTATGTATTTCAGCTTACCACTTTTATCAGCTGAACCTCCTCTCATGATCCTGGCCACAACAATGGCTCCAGTAGATTTGTCCATCTTAATTGTTGCCCCCTTGCAGATGATGATAAATAATTAGACAACAGACTTATAAGCAGATTTGAGATGCAAAGAGTGTCTAAAACTAGGAAGACAGAAAAATATACAGTAAATGTATTAAAACCTAAACAAGCTTCTGAGTTCCTTCATGCTAGTGAGGGTTTTGGGTCTCCAGAATGAACCATTTAATTGGTTTCATGTCACTCAAAGCATTACTTACAACAAACGTTATTGATGAGATACATTTTAAGGAGTCGACTAGAGTCAGCTTGTGCTTGAGAGGAACCTTGTCTGGAAAACTGGAACATGTTGGATAAATCAAATGGACTTGGAGTCAGATCAGTTTCTCTGGAGTCTTGTTTTGGGATCCGTATGTTCAGTATATATGTTCTCCATTATTGGTCCAAAGTGCCTTTTGGAAGTTCAACAAATAAAATAGATAGATAGATAGATAGATAGATAGATAGATAGATAGATAGATAGATAGATAGATAGATAGATAGATAGATAGATAGATAGATAG